TTGCGCTGATAAATTTCTGTGTGAGCTCCCTAAAACCATCCCTGATAATGAATTTGCACTGATAAATTTCAGTGTGAGCTCCTTGAAACCATCCCTGATAATGAATTTGCACTGATAAATTTCAGTGTGAGCTCCTTGAAACCATCCCTGATAATGAATTTGCACGGATAAATTTCAGTGTGAGCTCCCTAAAACCATCCCTGATAATGAATTTGCACGGATAAATTTCAGTGTGAGCTCCCTAAAACCATCCCTGATAATGAATTTGCACGGATAAATTTCTGTGTGAGCTCCTTGAAACCATCCCTGATAACGAATTTGCACGGATAAATTTCTGTGTGAGCTCCTTGAAACCATCCCTGATAACGAATTTGCACTGATAAATTTCAGTGTGAGCTCCTTAGAACCATCCCTGATAACGAATTTGTTTTGTCTCTTTCCCAGCACGGACGATCCCCATCCCACATTCGGCGCTTCCCGCACGGATCCTGCCCCGGGAGGGGTTTCAGCCGCCCGGTCGGACCGGTCGGACCGGATTCCCCCGCGCCTCCTCTTCCCTCTGCCCGCAGCTTTTCCCCTCTCGGGGCCCTCCCCCGAACAATGTCACCGGCATTGGGTGACATCGGCCCGTGCTGGCTTGCTTTTGTGAGAAATGTCTGTGTTTTATTAATGGCTTTTCGCAAATATTCAAATTATTATTGTTACGTGTGTTGCGTTAGGCAGTAATGCTGGATTCATTCTCTCGTGTGGTAAATAGAGTTTTGGGTTATAACAAATGCTAAAATAGGAACCGTGCTGTGTAGGACTCACAGCGAGAGAGCAGCCCCGGGACACCTGAATCTTTCAGAGATAAGGAAAGATTTGGGTGCTCCATTATTAGAAAGATTTTTGCTCCATTATCAGCAGAAATGAACTTCTTCCCGCCTCGAAGGCGCTGTCAGGACTCAGAGGAAGAAGCTGAGGATGACCAGACAGAATCCTGTGTTTGAATGGAATTTGTGCATCATGGATGAGGTGTGTGAATGTGCAACAGGCTGTTGCTTTTAAGGGTTAATCCTTTGTTAATGTGTGTCCCTTTTCAGGCTTGGAAAAGTTACCCAGACATCCCTAACTCTTCCTTTTATTGCCTCACATTGTCCTAATTCAAATTGTCCGAATTATTATTACTCCAATAGTATTCCTATTTTTATAACCATTTCATTACTATGAAACTTTGGAAATTTTCAGAACGGGTTTGCAATCACCCCCTGAGCACACACACACAAATAACCAGGGCTGGCATCAGGGAGAGGCCCCTGTGCTGCTGGGAAATGCCAAGCTGTGCTTGGTGTCAGGTACATCCGGCAATTGTGGATTTGTGACTGTGAGGTGTGTGGAAACCGACCATGGGACAGTTATAAATACAATTTCTAACAATAACTGAGAAAAATAAAGCATGGTAGAAAGCCTTTGAGCCTATTCTTTGTTATCAATTAACCTTTATAAGTCTGAAGTTGATTTAGGAGCATTCGAATTAAAGCTTTGAGGATGTTGCTTCTCGACAGGAACTTTCTGCTTGTAGCTAAGCCTTAAAGAGTTTTGAGACACAAGGGAAAACAAGAGGTCAAATCACAGAATTATCTGGGTTGGAAAACGCCTCCAAGATCCCCAAATCCCACCTGGGGCCGATCCCCACCTGTCACCAGCCCAGAGCCACATCCAGGCCTTCCCTGGGGACTCCAGACCTCCCAGATCAGCCCCACCACAAGGTGGGGATCAGTCCCAGGTGGGGCTTGGAGGTCTTGGAGGTCTTTTCCAACCCAAATAATTCTGTGATTTCTAGCTCTTGTTTTTCCTTGTGTCACCTCACTGATCAGCCCCACCGCCCTGCAGGAGTGTCCCTCACCCGGGAGGGCTCAGTGCCACACAGAGAGCTGACACAAGGAGAAACAAGAGGGTAAATCACAGAATTATTTGGGTTGGAAATGACCTCCAAGACCATCAAGTCCCACCTGGGACCGATCCCCACCTTGTCACGAGCCCAGAGCCACATCCAGCCCTTCCCTGGGGACTCCAGACCTTCCAGATCAGTCCCACCACAAGGTGGGGATCGGCCACAGGTGGGGCTTGGTGGCCTTGGAGGTCTTTTCTCACCTAAATGATTCTGTGATTTAACCTCTGATTATTTCCTTGTGTCACCTCTCTGTGTGGCACTGAGCCCTCCCGGGTGAGGGACACTCCTGCAGGGTGGTGGGGCTGCTCAGGGAGGTGACACAAGGAAAAACAAGCGGTTAAGTCACAGAATCACAGAATTATTTGGGTTGGAAAACACCTCCAAGATCACCAAATCCCACCTGGGACCGATCCCCACCTGTCACCAGCCCAGAGCCACATCCAGCCCTTCCCTGGGGACTCCAGACCTCCCTGAGCAGCCCCACCACAAGGTGGGGATCGGTCACAGGTGGGGCTTGGTGGTCTTGGAGGTCTTTTCCAACCCAAATAATTCTGTGATTCTGTGATTTTATCTCTTGTTTTGCCTCGTGTCACCTCTCTGTGTGGCACTGAGCCCCTCCAGGTGAGGGACACTCCTGCAGGGTGGTGGGGCTGCTCAGGGAGGTGACACAAGGAAAAACAAGAGGTTAAATCAGAATCATTTGGGTTGGAAAACGCCCGCAAGACCACCAAGCCCCACCTGGGACCGATCCCCACCTTGTGGTGGGGCTGCTCAGGGAGGTTTGGAGTCCCCAGGGAAGGCCTGGATGTGGCTCTGGGCTGGTGACAGGTGGGGATCGGCCCCAGGTGGGACTTGATGGCCTTGGAGGTGTTTTCCAACCCAAATAATTCTGATTTAACATCTTGTTTTTCTTTCTGTCACCTCTCTGTGTGGAACTGAGCCCTCCCAGGCGAGGGAAAAGCTCGTGGGTTATTGAGTCCAAGCATTAAATGAGGATTTTTTTTTCTCTGTTCCATCACTTGGATATCCCTGAAAATCCTTACCAGGAGTTAGGACAGATTTCAGCCCTCCAGTTTGAGAATAAATCCTTTGGAGCTGCCCCGAGAGTGATCCCGGCCAGGAAATCCCGGCTCCAGCAGCTCCTTTCAAAAGCTGAAATTTTGAATTCCTTTTGAAATTTTGAATTCCATTGGAAATTTTGATTTCCATTTGAAATTTTGAATTGAATTTCAAATTTTGATTTCCATTGGAAATTTTGAACTTTGTTTGAAATTTCAAATTCCATTTGAAAATTCTGATTCCCATTTGAAATTTTGAATTCCATTTGAGATTTTGAAATCCATTTGAAATTGCAAATTCCATTTGAAGTTTTGAACTCCATTCAAGATTTCGAAATCCGTTTAAAATTTTTATTTCCGTTTGAAGTTTTGAATTCTGTTTGGAATTTTGAATTCAATTTGAAATTTCAAATTCCATTTGAAAATTTTGATTTCCATTTGAAATTTTGAACTTCATTTGAAGTTTTGAATTCCATTTGAAATTTTGAATTCTGCTTGAAATTCTGGTTTCCATTTGAAATTTTGAACTTCATTTGAAGTTTTGAATTCCATTTGAAATTTTGAATTCTGCTTGAAATTCTGGTTTCCATTTGAAATTCCGAAATCCATTTGAAATTTTGTATTCCGTTTGAAATTTTATATTCCGTTTGAAATTTTGAATTCCGTTTGAAGTTTTGAATTCCATTTGAAATTTTGAATTCTGTTTCAAATTTTGAATTCTGTTTGAAATTTCAAACTCCATTTGAAATTTTGAATTCCCTTTGAAATTTCTAATTCCGTTTGAAGTTTTGAATTCCATTTGAGATTTCAAATTCCATTTGAAATTTTAAATTCCGTTTCAAGTTTTGATTCCCATTTGAAATTTTGAATTCCGTTTGAAATTTCGATTTCCATTTGAGGTTTGGAATTCCATTTGAGATTTCGAATTCCTTTTGAAATTTTAAATTCCGTTTGAAATTTCGAATTCCATTTGAAATTTCGAATTCCATTTGAAGTTTTGAATTCCATTTGAGATTTCGAATTCCATTTGAAATTTCCCAATTTCTCTTGGAGCAGGTCACGGGAGCCCAGGTGGAAAATCCACCCGGAGCTTTCTGAGATTTCTCCCTTTCACTCCCAGAATATTCAGCACTCGTGGGAGCGACTGCAGGAAGGATTTTCCCAGATTTTGGCATTTTTAGACATCCAGCAATCTCCAAGAGATGAGTTTTGTGTTTTCCATTTACTGCCTGTCCCATTAAAAGCTGATTTTTGAACAATAACCCCTCAATTATTTCATTTCCCTGAAATTCCTTATCGTCAAAACACGACAAATTACTGACATATTATTTCCTATAAAGACAAGGACGTTTGTATTTCCTACAAATAATCCTAAAAATCAAAATATTTGCCTGTAAAGACCATCAGAGACGCAAGAAATAATGTAATGAGGGAATTTAAAGCTGATTTTTGAACAATAACCCCTCAATTATTTAATTTCCTGAAATTCCTAATTATCAAAACACGACAAATTATCGACAGATTATTTCCTATAGAGACAAGGCCATTTATATTTCCTACAAATAATCCTAAAAATCAAAATATTTGCCTGTAAAGACCATCAGAGACGCAAAAAAATCATTCAATGAGTGAATTATTGAGCACAAAGAATGATCGGTTCCAACCCAAACCAATCTCTGTGTGATAAAATTTCATTTTTTGCTGGTTTTTGCTCCAAAAGGCCATGGAAGCACCTGAGCATCCAGAATCTCCTTTGAAGACTTCACAGACATTTCCTGGCGTTTTTAAATCCAATTTAATCTCATTCCAAGGATGGAATTTGATTTCCCAACATCAAAACTTGCGGAATTTGGGAAATGAGGGAATTTTTTGGGAGCAGTCGCGTCAGGGAAAGCAAATCCCTTTTTCCACAGAGGGGAAATTTCACGTTCCCGTGAGATAAACTCCTGGTCACTTCCAAAATCTGCCTGCGGAAAATATTTATTTAAAGAGAAAATTAGGAAATTTACCCATTTCCCAAGCAGGGCTCTTCTTTCTTCAAATACCTGTAAAACACAAAATAAATAAAAAAAATAAAATTGAGTATTTAGAGTGGGATCAGTACATGCTGAGAGAAATTCAGCTGGAAAAACAAAATAAAATATCAATGGAATCGCTGAATGGAGGGTTTTGGAAAAAATTATGGAGATTTTTAATCCAAACTCCCCGACAGGATCAGCAAAAGGAGCGACCGTGAGATTTGGGGATTTTATTGGATGGAGATTCCAGAATGTCCCTAAAAATCAGGGTCTCAATTCCTTAATCCCTGTGCTGGATTTATGGAATAAATCCTTTTTTATTGATTTGGATATTTCCATATTTTATGTGGATATAAAATAAAATAAAAGCCATATTTTATAATGATTTAATCCATAAATCCATTTTTATTGATTTGTATATTTCCATGTTTTATATGGATTTATCCCCTAGAACCATTTTTATTGATTTGGATGTTTCCATATTCTATATGGATTTATTCCATAAATCCATTTTTAAATATTTCCATATTTTATATGGATTAATTCAATAATTTTTTTTATATTTCCATATTTTATATGGATTCCATCAGTCCATTTTTATTGATTAGGATATTTCCATATTTTATATGGATTTATTCCATCAATCCATTTGTATTGATTTGGATATTTCCATATTTTGTATTGATTTATTCTGTGAATCTATTTTTTATTAATTCGGATATTTCCATATTTCATATGGATTTATTCTATAAATTTATTGATTTTGATATTTTCATATTTTAGATTAATTTATTCCATAAATCCATGTATTTATTTCTATGGATATTTCCACGTTTTATATGGATTTATTCCATAAATCCATTTTTATTGATTTGGATATTTCCTTATTTTATATTGATTTATCCCATAAATCCATTCCTATTGATTTGGCTGTTTCCATATTTTATATGGATTTATCCCATAAATCCATTTCTATTGATTTGGATATTTCCGTATTTTCTGTACCCGCTCCTGGCTCTGATGTCCCATATTTCCATATTTTATTGATTTGGATATTTCCATGTTTTATATGGATTTATCCCATAAATCCATTTTTATTGATTTGGCTGTTTCCATATTTTATATGGATTTATCCCATAAATCCATTTCTATTGATTTGGATATTTCCGTGTTTTATACGGATTTATCCCATAAATCCATTTTTATTTTTTTTAATATTTCCGTATTTCCTGTTCCCGCTCCTGGCTCCGCTGTCCCTCCCTGGCCGTGTCCCAGCCCAGCCTGGCCGGGTTTGGGCCCGTGGGCGGTGCCAGGGTGGGAGCGGGAGGAGCTTTGAGATCCCTTCCAATAAAATCCCCAGGACTGGGAGGCCACGGCCTCCCTGGGGAGTCTCAGGGGCTCCCAACCCTCCCAGGGAACAATTCCTGCCCAAATCCCACCCATCCCTGCCCAAATCCCACCCATCCCTGCCCAATATCCCACCCATCCCTGCCCAATATCCCACCCATCCCTGCCCAAATCCCACCCATCCCTGCCCAAATCCCACCCATCCCTGCCCAATATCCCACCCATCCCTGCCCTCTGGCAGTGGGAAGCCATTCCCTGTGTCCTGTCCCTCCATCCTTGTCCCCAGTCCCTCTCCAGCTCTCCTGGAGCCCCTTCAGGGCCTGGAAGGGGCTCTGAGCTCTCCCTGGATCCTTCCCTTCTCCAGGGGAGCACCCAAAGCTCCTGGAAGGGCTCTGAGGATCCTTCCCCTCTCCAGGCGAACATTCCAGCTCCTGGAAAGGCTCTGAGGGTCCTTTTCTTCTGCAGATGAACATTTCCAGCTCCGGGAAAGGCTCTGAGGGTCCTTCTCTTTTTCAGGTGAACATTTCCATCTCCTGGAGGGGCTCTGAGTGTCCTTTTCTCCAGGTGAACATTTCCAGCTCCTGGAAGGGCTCTGAGCTCTCCCTGGATCCTTCTCCTCTCCAGGTGAGCACCCAAAGCTCCTGGAAGAATTCTGAGGGTGTTTCTTTTCTCCAGGTGAGCATTCCCAGCTCTTCCAGCTCTCTCCTGGCTCCCTGAGCTTCCCAACCCCAAACTTGTCCAGGACAAACCCCCAGAAGGGACCAGCTCAGCTCCAGGGCACGCCAGACCCAGCACCAGCATGGGAAGGAGATCAGGGATCACAATAATCCAGGTTTTTCCTGGCTGATTCCTGCCTAAAACAGGGCTGGGTCCAACCTTTAGATCTTTAGGGCCTGGAAGGGGCTCTGAGCTCTCCCTGGAGCCTTCTCCTCTCCAGGTGAACACCGAAAGCTCCTGGAAGGGCTCTGAGGGTCCTTTTCTTCTGCAGATGAACATTCCCAGCTCCTGGAAGGGCTCTGAGCATCCTTCCCTTCTCCAGGTGAACATTTCCAGGTCCTGGAATGGACTCTCAGCTCTCCCTGGATCCTTCTCTCCAGGTGAGCACTCAAAGCTCCTGGAGGGGCTCTGAGGGTCCTTTTCTCCAGGTGAACATTCCCGGCTTCTGGAAGGGGCTCTGAGGTCTCCCTGGATCCTTCCCTTCTCCAGGTGATCACTGAAAGGTCCTGGAAAAGCTGAGGGTCCTTTTCTGCAGGTGAACGTTTCCAGATCCTGGAATGGACTCTCAGCTCTCCCTGGATCCTTCTCCTCTCCAGGTGAACACCCAAAGCTCCTGGAAGGGCTCTGAGGGTCCTTCTCTTCTCCAGGTGAACATTCCCAGCTCCTGGGAGGGCTCTGAGGGTCCAGGTGAAAATCCAAAGCTCCTGGAAGGGTTCTGAGTCTCCTTTTCTCCAGGTGAGCATTCCCAGCTCCTGGAAGGGCTCTGAGGGTCTTTCTTTTCTCCAGGTGAACATTCCAGCTCCTGGAGGGACTCTGAGCTCTCCCTGGATCCTTCTCCTCTCCAGGTGAGTACCCAGAGCTCCTGGAAGGGCTCTGAGGGTCCTTGTTTTCTCCAGGTGAACATTCCCAGCTCCTGTAGGGGCTCTGAGCTCTCCCTGGATCCCTCCCTTCTCCAGGTGATCCCCCCAAACTCTCCCAGCCTGGCTCCATGGCAATTCCTCTCTCCTGGCCCCGCAGTGACGGGAGCTGCCCCAAAAGCCGAACTTCCCACCTCGTTAATTCACAAATCCCATTAATCCCGAGCGCCTGAAACCCTGCAGGATCCAATCCCCGCTCCTCGAACCCTGCAGGGAGGGGCTGGCAGGAGCAGCCTTTGTTCCTCGGCCGCTTTGCAGCGACGGCTCCCAGCGAGGGCGACCGGGATCAAAATCCAGAGGAGGATTCCTGATCCTGACCTTCATCCGTGGGGAGCCGGACCCCAAAGCCCCAACACGCGGCTCCCCACTGTGGGACCTCAGCACATCAGTCCTGATGTGCAGAGTCACCGAGATAACCCTTGGGGGGCTCGGAGGTCCTGGAATGTGCCAGAAGTGTCTGGTGGCTGGACTTTGATCCTGCACAGGAGACGACACCTGTGTGAGGATGGGAGGATCTCACGGGGATCAATGGTGAAGGGATGGGTTAATTAGAGTGTGAAACACAGGTTTTAGAATTTCGGTACAGGGGGGTCTAGAGAAGCAAGATGGAGGAATTGGGGCGTGTCCTGTCCTCCTTCTTCTTCTTCTTGGCCTCCATCTTCTGTGGTGGTGGTGGCACTTTGGGATTGGTTCTTACCAAAAGTGCACTGGTCAATAAGGGTGGAAGGAGACCACACCTGTGTGAGGATGGGAGGATCTCACGGGGATCAATGGTGAAGGGATGGGTTAATTAGAGTGTGAAACACAGGTTTTAGAATTTCGGTACAGGGGGGTCTAGAGAAGCAAGATGGAGGAATTGGGGCGTGTCCTGTCCTCCTTCTTCTTCTTCTTGGCCTCCATCTTCTGTGGTGGTGGTGGCACTTTGGGATTGGCTCTTACCAAAAGTGCACTTGTCAATAAGGGTGGAAGGCATTGGGGAAAATAGGTAAATATCTTATATGTAGTTTTGGGTATAAAGATCAGTGACCGCCCCGAGGGCTCTCAGTGTGCCCATGGCCGACGCGCTGTGCGGAGCTCTGTCGGGCCGGGAGAAAATCTTGTAGATAAAAACAAATAAACGCTGAAGACCGAGAAAAAACCTGAAGACTCTTCTCGTCCTTTGGAGCGCGGGCTGTCCCAAGGCCATCCCGAGCATTTCCAGGCCATCAAAAACAGCCGGGAACGGGACACGCCACCACCACAGCCCCGCCTTCAGCCTCTGGGATGGTGACCTGGGGAGGGAGGGAAGGCTGGAGGGGATTTTTCCAGCACACAGATCAAAGAGGAGGAGGAGGAGGAAAAGAGCCGGGCTTGTCAAACGGCGATGGAACGGGAAAAGGCGCTGCTGGGTGGATCGTTATGTGTGGAGAGCCTGGTTCAAGCATGGCTTAAAGAAAGAGGCCATGAAGGCACACAGCTGATGGGAAAGTGTTGGAGAATGGCTTAAAGAAAAAGGCCATGAAGACATACAATTGAGAGAAAAGTAAAAGGTAGAAGTAAAGCAGTTCCTAAAGCAGTTCCCAGGCTTGATTTTATAAATAATAAGGTTCTCAGACAGTCTTCCCATAACAAGCAAAGCACTCTGTCTGGGAAAAGCTGGCTCCCTGGGAACAGATATGGAAGTTTTGGGAAACTCTCATATCACAGTGGGAACGTTGGTTCTGTTTTTAATAAACAATCATAGGTATTGTAAAACAAAAGGAGTGGTTAGAGTTTTCTCTGTTAACCTATCGTGAGCTCAGATTTTGCAATATGCATGAGGTTAATTAACACTGTTATATAAAGTGACTGATTGATCAATAAATCGGAGTTCGATGCATTAACCAGGATGGTCGTTCTCCCTTCACTTCAATAGGAAAGTAAAAAGGCAGCTGTAAAGCAGCATTTCCCAGGCTTGATTCTGTAAATAATTAGGTTCTCAAGAATTTTTATAAACAATAAGATTCTCAGAAAGTCTTCTCATGACAGGCAAAACATTCTGTCCTTGGCTGCTCTGGGAACAGATGTGAAGGTTTTGAGAACTTCTCATATCACGGTGAGAACGCTGATCCTGGTTTTCATAAACAAACCACAGGTATTGTAAACAAAAGGAGGGGTTAGAGTTTTCTCTGTTAACCTATCGTGAGCTCGAATTTTGCAATATGCATGAAGTCAACACTGGTATAAAAGGCGGCTGATTTGATCAATAAATCGGAGTCGATGCTCATCAATCGGATGGTCGTCTCCCTTCACTTCAGTCGTTCTGAGCTGCAGAACTCTGGCTCTGAGCTGGCTCCTGCAGGGAGGGACATTGTCAGCGCTGACGATGATGACAGCTCCAGCTCTGTCCCTCCCAGCAGGAGAGTCTCTGGTGAGGGCTGCAAAATGACATTTCTTTTATTTGTGCCTTGACAGTCATTGTTTGCTTTATTTGCGTTGGAAAAACACCCAAAAAAACCCAACAAGCTGAATTTGGAAAAAAAAGATTTGCGCCAAGGAAGCGATGAATAGTCAGGATGTGAGGTTTGGGTTGGAGGATTCCAGGGAGGAGGAGGAGGAGGAGGAGGAGGAGGAGGAGGAGGGAGCTGTTTGTGGTCTTTGATCAAAGACCGATGGCGGATTTGCTTGCGGCGTTCTTGGAGACGCGTCTGAGCTGAGGCTCCCCCAAAGTTCTGCCTCTCCAGGCGCTTGGGAGCGTTAATTAGCAACAGAATGGCCCAAATTGGGTGTGATCATCAAGCCCATGTGCTCTGCTCCAAGGCCTGGGAGCTACACCCATGGAGTGCTCCAGTGATGAGATCTCTGAATTTCGGGGATTTTGGGACTTGCCTGGTCATTGATGAGCTGATGGCTCAGGGGGGAGAATTTTGAGACTATTCCAAACCAATCCTCGAGGAATAAATTCTGGATTTGGCTTTTCCTTGATGGGGTTGTCCTGGATGACCTCGGTGGGCTCAGGAATTCTGAATTTCCCTGAATTATTCCCTGAATTATTCCCTGAATTTTGGGGATTTTGGGGATTTTGGGAACTTGCCTGGTTGTTGATGAGCCGATGGTTGAGGGAGGTCCAGGAGCTGAGGCGGAGCCTGGAGCCATCGCGGGGTTTGGGAGCTGGGCTGGGTGACCTCAATGAGCCCGGGAATTCTGAATTTCCCTGAATTATTCCCTGGATTATTCCCTGGATTATTCCCTGAATTTTGGGGATTTTGGGGATTTTGGGAACTTGCCTGGTTGTTGATGAGCCGATGGTTGAGGGAGGTCCAGGAGCTGAGGCGGAGCCTGGAGCCATCGCGGGGTTTGGGAGCTGGGCTGGGTGACCTCAATGAGCCCGGGAATTCTGAATTTCCCTGAATTATTCCCTGAATTATTCCCTGGATTATTCCCTGAATTTTGGGGATTTTGGGGATTTTGGGACTTGCCTGGTCATTGATGAGCCGGTGGTTGAGGGGGGTCCAGGAGCTGAGGCGCAGCCTGGAGCCGTCGCGGGGTTTGGGAGCTGCAAACGCCATGGGGAACGTGGGGCTCCTTCGCCGGGGCTGCAAACGGAAAAATGGGGGAAAATGGAATTTTAAGTGAGGGATCCAATGGAACAAAGGTCAGTGTGACATTCGTTAGTTCTTGTGGGAAAAAATAGAATTTTAGCAAGGAAAAAAATAGAATTTTAACAAGGGATCCAATGGAACAAAGATGGGTGTTACCATTGTGCCACTCTTTCATTTTTATGGGAAAAATAGAATTTTAATGAGGAATCCAATGGAATAAAGATGGGTGTTCTCCCTGTGCCATCCATTAGTTTTTATGGGAAAAATAGAATTTTAACAAGGGAATCCAATGATTTAATGGAAGAAACATGAACATTATCCCTGTGCCATTCCTTCATTTTAATGGGAAAAATAGAATTTTAAGAAGAAGGAAATTATTCCATCGAACAAAGATGGATGTTATCCCTGTGACATTCTTTAGTTTTTATGGAAAAAATTAGAGTTTTAACAAGGAATCCAATGGAACAAACATGAGCATTTTCCCTGTGCCATTCCTTTGTTTTTTTGGGAAAAATTAGAATTTTAACAAGGGATCCAATGGAACAAAGGTGAGTGTTATCATTGTGCCATTCATTGTTTTTATGGGAAAAATAGATTTTTATCAGGAAAAAATAGAATTTTAATGCAGGATCCAATGGAACAAAGATGGATGTTATCCCTGGGCCATTTCTTAATTTTTATTGAAAAAATACAATTTATGAAGGAATTCAGTGATTCCATAGAACAAATATGGGTGTTATCCCTGTGCCGTTGCTTTGTTTTCATTAGTTTTTATGGGAAAAATAGAATTGCAAAAATGAATCCAATGGAACAAAGATGAGTGTTATCACTGTGCCATTCATTTGTTTTTGTGGGAAAAATAGAATTTTAGCAAGGAAAAAAATAGAATTTTATTGAGGCATCCTGTGGAACAAAGATGGATGCTATCCTTGTGCCATTCCTTCTTTTTCATGGAAAAAATTAGAATTTTAACAAGGTGATTTCATGGAAGAAACATGAATGTTAGACCCGTGCCATTTCTTCATTTTCATGGAAAAACCCCATAATTTTAATAAAAGATCCAATGATTTCATAGAACAAACATGAATGTTATCACTGTGCCATTCCTTCATTTTCATGGAAAAAATGGAATTTTAATGAGGGATCCAATGGAACAAAGGTGGGTGACATCACTGTGCCATTCATTAGTATTTATGGGAAAAAATAGAGTTTTAACAAGGAAGAAAATAGAATTTTAATGAGGAATCCAATGGAACAGAGATGGGTGCTATCACTGCGCCATCCATTAGTTTTTATGTGGAAAAATAGAATTTTAACAAGGAATCCAATGATTTCATGGAAGAAACATGAACGTTATCACTATATCATTCTTTCAATTTCATGGAAAAAAAATGTAATTTTAATGAGAAGTCCAATGGAATAAAGATGGGCATTATTCCTGTGCCATTCCTTCATTTTCATGGATAAAATTAGATTTTTAACAAGGAATCCAATGATTTCATGGAATAAACATGAAATGTTAGACCAGTGCCGTTCCTTCTTTTTCATGGAAAAAATAGAATTTTAAGAAGAATCAAATTATTCCATAGAACAAAAATGGACGTTATCCTTGTGCCGTTCCTCTGTTTTCATGGAAAAAATTAGAATTTTGAGAAGGAATCCAGTGATTTCATGGAAGAAACATGAACATTATCCCTGTGCCATTCCTTCTTTTTCATGGAAAAAGCATAATTTTAATAAAAGATCCAATGATTTCACAGAACAAACATGAATGTTTTCACTGTGCCATTCTTCATTTTCATGGAAAAAATGGAATTTTAATGAGGGATCCAATGGAACAAAGGTGGGTGACATCAGTGTGACATTCGTTAGTTTTTATCAGAAAAAAATAGAATTTTAACGAGGAAAAAATAGAATTTTAATGAGGGATCCAATAGAATACAGATGGATGTTATCCATGTGCCATTCATTAGTTTTTTATGGAAAAATCAGAAGTTTTATGAGGGATCTAATGGAACAAAGGTGGGCGTTATCACTGTGCCGTTCATTAGTTTTTATGGGAAAAATAGAATTTTAACAAGGAAAAAAATAGAATTTTAATGAGGGATCCAACGGAACAGAGATGGGTGCTATCACTGCGCCATTCATTCGTTTTTATGGGAAAAAATGGAATTTTAACAAGGAATCCAATGATTTAATGGAAGAAACATGAACGTTTTCCCTGTGCCATTCCTTTGTTTTTTATGGAAAAAAATAGAATTTTAAGAAGGGATCCAATGATTTCATGGAAGAAACATGAACGTTATCCCTGCGCCATTCCTTCATTTTCATGGAAAAAATAGAATTCTAACAAGGAATCCAATGGAACAAAGATGGGTGTTATCCCTGCACCATTCCTTCATTTTCATGGAAAAACCATAATTTTAATAAAAACTCCAATGATTTCATAGAACAAACATGAATGTTATCACTGTACCATTCCTTCATTTTCATGGAAAAAATGGAATTTTAATGAGGGATCCAATGGAACAAAGGTGGGTGACATCAGTGTGACATTCGTTAGTTTTTATCAGAAAAAAATAGAATTTTAACGAGGAAAAAAATAGAATTTTAATGAGGAATCCAATAGAATAAAGATGGATGTTATCCCTGTGCCATTCATTAGTTTTTATGGAAAAATGGAATTTTAACAAGGAATCCAGTGGAATAAAGATGGGCATTATCATTGTGCCATTCATTAATTTTTACAGAAAAAATAGAATTTTGACAAGGGAAAAATTAGAATTTTAATGAGGGATCCAACGGAACAGAGACGGGTGTTATCACTGCGCCATTCATTCGTTTTTATGGGAAAAAATAGAATTTTAACAAGGAATCCAATGATTTCATGGAAGAAACATGAACGTTATCCCTGTGCCATTCCTTTGTTTTTATGGAAAAAATAGAAATTTCAAGAAGGAATTCAGTGATTCCATAGAACAAAGATGGATGTTATCACAGTGCCTTTCCTTCATTTTCATGGAAAAACCCCATAATTTTAATAAAAACTCCAATGATTCCATAGAACAAACATGAATGTTATCACTGTGCCATTCCTTCATTTTCATGGAAAAATTAGAATTTTAATGAGGGATCCAATGGAACAAAGGTGGGTGACATCAGTGTGACATTCATTGGTTTTTATCAGAAAAAAAAAAAATTTTAACGAGGAAAGAAATAGAATTTTAATGAGGGATCCAATAGAATAAAGATGGATGTTATCCATGTACCATTCATTAGTTTTTTTATGGAAAAATCAGAAGTTTTATGAGGGATCTAATGGAACAAAGGTGGGCGTTATCACTGTGCCGTTCATTAGGTTTTATGGGAAAAATAGAATTTTAACAAGGAAAAAAATAGAATTTTAATGAGGGATCCAACGGAACAGAGATGGGTGCTATCACTGTGCCATTCATTCGTTTTTATGGGAAAAAATGGAATTTTAACAAGGAATCCAATGATTTAATGGAAGAAACATGAACGTTTTCCCTGTGCCATTCCTTTGTTTTTATGGAAAAAATAGAATTTTAAGAAGGGATCCAATGATTTCATGGAAGAAACATGAACGTTATCCCTGCGCCATTCCTTCATTTTCATGGAAAAAATAGAATTCTAACAAGGAATCCAATGGAACAAAGACGGGTGTTATCCCTGCACCATTCCTTCATTTTCATGGAAAAACCCCATAATTTTAATAAAAACTCCAATGATTTCATAGAACAAACATGAATGTTATCACTGTACCATTCCTTCATTTTCATGGAAAAAATGGAATTTTAATGAGGGATCCAATGGAGCAAAGGTGGGTGACATCAGTGTGACATTCATTGGTTTTTATCAGAAAAAAATAGAATTTTAACGAGGAAAAAAATAGAATTTTAATGAGGGATCCAATAGAATACAGATGGATGTTATCCATGTACCATTCATTAGTTTTTTATGGAAAAATCAGAAGTTTTATGAGGGATCTAATGGAACAAAGGTGGCCGTTATCACTGTGCCGTTCATTAGTTTTTATGGGAAAAATAGAATTTTAACAAGGAAAAAAATAGAATTTTAATGAGGGATCCAACGGAACAGAGATGGGTGCTATCACTGCGCCATCCATTAGCTTTTATGGGAAAAAATGGAATTTTAACAAGGAATCCAATGATTTCATGGAAGAAACATGAACATTATCCCTGCGCCATTCCTTGATTTTCATGGAGAAAAAATAGAATTTTAAGAAGGAATTCAATGATTCCATAGAACAAAGATGGATGTTATCCCTGTGCCATTCCTTCCTTTTCATGGAAAAACCCCATAATTTTCATAAAAAATCCAATAATTTCATAGAACAAATATGAATGTTATCACTGTGCCATTCCTTCATTTTCATGGAAAAAATGGAATTTTAACGAGGGATCCAATGATTTCATGGAAGAAACATGAACATTATCCCTGTGCCATTCCTTCTTTTTCGTGGGCAAAAATATAATTTTAGTAAGGAATTCAATGGAACAAAGATTCTTGTGCCATTATTATTCTTGTGCCATTCTTTCATTTTTATGGAAAAAACCAGAATTTTAACAAGGGATCCAATGGAACAAAGATGGACATTATCACTGTGCCATCCATTAGTTTTTATGGGAAAAATAGAATTTTAATAAGGAAAAAATTGAATTTTAATGCAGTATCCAATGGAACAACGATGGGTGTTATCCCTGGGCCATTTCTTAATTTTTGTGGAAAAAATACAATTTATGAAGGAATTCAGTGATTCCATAGAACAAAGACGAGTGTTATCCCTGTGCTGTTCCTTCGTTTTCATGGGAAAAATTAGAATTTTAATAGGGAATTAAATGATTTCATGGAAGAAACGTTATGAACGTTGTCCCTGTGCCATTCCTTCTTTTCCATGGAAAAAGATGTGATATAAAAAAGGAATTCAATGAT